CCCGGGAGGGTGCTGGGGGGACCCCAGGATGGGCTCTGGTTCCCCCTGGGAGGGTGCTGGGGGGACCCCAGGATGGGCTCTGGCTCCCCCTGGGAGGGTGCTGGGGGGACCCCAGGATGGGCTCTGGTTCCCCCTGGGAGGGTGCTGGGGGGACCCCAGGATGGTGTCTCGTTCACTTGTCTGCATGGCTATGTGGCATGTCACTGCCCACCCAGCAGTGTCCCCTCTTGCAGTCCCAACAGTGCTTCCTGCTGGGAGGGCTTGAGCCCAGAGGAGCTGAGAGTTTCCCCAAAGCCAGTACAGCTTCGCCATTCTCTGCAGTGATTCCTGCTGGGAAAGGCTGAGAATAAATAAGCCGAGACTGGAGACCTGTGAGCTGCTTACATTCAGTGCTCCTATACCGTTTCTTGAAGTTACTTGCCCAGGGTCTTCTGCAGTAATTATAAAGTCACCTTTGGGTTAGCCACCTGGCTAGCGTCTCCTGCTTTTCTTCCAGAGCCGCCCCCAGAGATGGCTGCAAAGGTCCTGAACACCCTGGCACAAAACATAACGAATAAATACGGGACAATAGTAAGTTACCCTAATGGCACTTTAACTGGACTCCTCTGAGGGGGTGGGGGCTGGAGCCAGGACACCATGGTGATGGGGGCTTTAGAAGTGCATAAATAGACCCTATACACTGCCTCTCCCCATGCCGCTTGTGGTGAAGGAAGGGCTGGGGGCTGGGAGGTGGATGGCTGCCATTCGAATGTAAGCACATGTTCGACTGGCCCTATCAGATATGCTAGCAAACTGTCACTGATAGAAGGCCTGAAGGGAGTGTTCCCCAAATGGTGCCCAGCCCTCTGGCACAGTGGAGAGGTTCCCAGACTGCCTTGAGGAATAGGATGGGGAAGTTCGAATTGTAGTGAAGACCATCCATAAACCTCCCATGACACCGTAAGCGTCTTGTTTGTGCCTTCTGCTGAGTATAGGATTACAGCAAGTGGCAGCGGGTAGAAGCAAAAAAGGAGAAACCTGTGTCACACAAACCAGCTTTGCCACCTATCACATCACCAAGTGAGGACAAGAAAAGCAAAGGGAGCTCCGCTGGCTGCCAGAAAGGCAAGCGGTCAGGTTGGCAAAGATTCTATTTCTGTACCATATGGCATGTCACTGCCCAGCAGTGTCCCCTCTTGCAGTCCCAACAGTGCTTCCTGCTGGGACGGCTTGAGCCCAGAGGAGCTGAGAATTTCCCCAAAACCAGTACAGCTTCACCATTCTCTGCAGTGACTCCTTCTGGGAAAGGCTGAGAATCAAAATGTCGGGACTGGAGACCTGTGAGCTGCTTACATTCAGTGCTCCTATACCATTACTTGAAGTTACTTCCCCTGGGTCTGCAGGAATTAGAAACTCCCTGTGGCTGGCATTCCTAAATGTCATAGAATCATAGAATATCAGGGTTGGAAGGAACCTCAGGAGGTCATCTAGTCCAACCCCCTGCTCAAAGCAGGACCAACCCCAACTAAATCATCCCAGCCAGGGCTTTGTCAAACCTGACCTTAAAAACCTCTAAGGAAGGAGATTCCACCACCTCCCTAGGGAACCCATTCCAGTGCTTCACCACCCTCCTAGTGAAAAAGTTTGTCCTAATATCCAACCTAAACCTCCTCCACTGCAACTTGAGACCATTACTCCTTGTTCTGTCATCTGCTACCACTGAGAACAGTCTAGATCCAGCCTCTTTGGAACCCCCTTTCAGGTAGTTGAAAGGAGCTATCAAATCCCCCCCATTCTTCTCTTCTGCAGACTAAATAATCCCAGTTCCCTCAGCCTCTCCTCATAAATTATGTGCTCCAGCCCCCTAATCATTTTTGTTGCCCTCTGCTGGACTCTTTCCAATTTTTCTACATCCTTCTTGTAGTGTGGGGCCCAAAACTGGACACAGTACTCCAGATGAGGCCTCACCAGTGCCGAATAGAGGGGAATGATCACGTCCCTCGATCTGCTGGCAATGCCCCTACTTATACAGCATATCCCTCAGCTACACATGGCAAGTGTATTCAGTTCCTGTCATGTGTTGAAACTGGACAGTTTAATAAGTGCAGAGCATTTTCTGTTTTACCAGTTCTATTCAGTCCCAGTTCATCCTTGCCTTCAAAGACAGCATCCTCTCTGAATCCCAGATTTGCTCAGCAGAAAACCTCAGCAAAGGAGACTGATGTAACTAAAAGCTTGGAGAACATCAAAATGATTAAGGTATGTAAAGCAAATGTCCAGTGCTGTGATTTATTTATAGGGAGGCTGGCGCACACCATTCAAGTTATTCAGGGTTGTCCCAAGAAAGGAAAAAAACGAGTTGCCTGATTATCTCATTTACACTCATGCAAAGTGGATGTCCAAGCCTGCTATTCTGATTTGGAGGCATGCACCAATTTGACACTCCCATTGTGCTCACGCAGATGACTCCACAAGGTGCTGAGCAATGGAGAATCAGGCCCTAGGTGCTGGGAGGAACTAGAGGAAGAGTGTAGTGATAGAGCAGCTGGCCAGTGAAGAAGGTGGGTGCAGGGATGTGTTGGGGGAATTGGAGTGATGTAATTTAGCAAAAAGATTGAGGTTTATTGGGTGGTTTTGTGGTGCCAAAGTAAATCAAGGGCGATATCATTATTTATTAATTAACAGGAGTGTCATTGGGATGGCAGGTGGAACACATTTGTAAATCTTTCATTCATAAATTCTTTCAGAAACTGACTAAGTCGAAGAGAAAGTCCCTAAATGAGCTGAAGCATCACAGCGCCGCCCTTGTAGAGACCAACGGGAGACTGGCCCAGGACATTCAGCAGACAGATGCCAGTACTGCCAAGCATGCCAGAGACCTGCTGCAGCAGTATGAGATGTTTGGGGTGAGGCTTAGGTGTGGCCAGTGAAGTCAGATGGGCAGAATCCCAACAGAATCCCAGCTCCTTCTAATCCCACGTGAGCAGGTTCAAGCTCTTGTGTGGCGATTACACAGCCCGTCACTAGTGGTAAGGGGGAACAGTCCTGTGCCCTGAGGCTCCTCTGCAGCATTCTGGTTTACACCGTTTATAGACCACTGGGCACTGCCCCACAGCAGCCAAAGATGCTGCAGCTACCTGCATCCTGCTGCCTCCTCTTAAGCATCCCTTCGAAGGCAGATACAGCCCTGGAGTGTGCGGAGCAGCTGCCTTGCCGATCCCCAAGGCAATGCTGCTGCAAGATTTTCTGAGGAGGAAGCAATAGTGTAGTAAGTGACAACTGTCACCCTCTCCTAGTAGCTTGAACATGTCCCCTCCATCAAGTGCATGACTTCGACTGGCTCATGAGGTGGGAAGCACAAAGTCACTCCCGAGAGCAGCTCCCCTGTGCTTGCAGCTGTGCTGCCTTGGCACCATGCAGTTCACTCCATCATGCTATTAGTGGGATCAATAAATACCATGGTGAGAGGTGCATTAGGAAGCCTGCAGCTAGACACTTCATAGTCTGTCAGTAGCGTACAGCAATCAGTGACTAGATTCCTCTCTCTACAGACAGTCATCTCGACCCTTCGGGACTCCAATCAGAACCAAGTTGGCGTAGCAAGAGCAGAACTCCAAGAAACAGAAAAAATGGTGGAAAAGAACCTGAGGAGTAAGAATGGATAGTTTACATTAAGCTAATTTCAATATAGTACATGTAACCCCATTGTCCAGTACTCCTCATTTCATTAGATTATAAATGCCAGATTGTTGTTGTGAACGTCAAATGATTAGGTTTCCTAAAGATAATCAATTAGTTTTGGTATATGGGGACTGTCACAGTTTCAGGGTAACTGCATCTGTATTCCCCCTCCGTGGGCCACTCGAGGAGTTCCCAGCCAGGTCTCAGGACTCCAGCTGTTACCTGTCTCTGGGTAGGGACCTTTGTTCCACTCCCTTCTAACTCGGTTTTAAAGCTGCACAGCTCCTTGCCTTACTCAGTGATATCCCCAGCAAGCTAGTCTGCCTGATGGCCAGCACCTGTGTGTTGCTTTCTCTCCGTGGGCTATGAACAGTATGTTGCCAGCAGTTACAAGTTACTACACAGCTCCTCATAAGCAAGCACATTTATTCTTAAAGTAAAAGCATTTATAGAGTAAACATCATTAAAACAATCAATAGAGTTGAACTCACCTTAAACATTCCAGGCGTCACCCATTAGTCTTATGGTGCCCTTGTAGGCCAAAGTCTTTCCCTGAGTCAGTTTAAACAGTCTTTTCATGCCAAAAGCCCTTTCTTTGTCTGTTGGTCTCTGGAAAACCCAGTTTGAACCAGTATGGACAAGCCTCCCCAGTTGGTACCTCTCTGGAGGTGTTAACAACCTCCAGATAGGGGGAGGGATAGCTCAGTGGTTTGAGCATTGGCCTGCTAAATCCAGGATTAGCAGGCCCCTTGAGGGGGCCACTTAGGGATCTGGGGCAAAAATCAGTACTTGGTCCTGCTAGTGAAGGCAGGAGGCTGGACTCGATGACCTTTTGGGGTCCCTTCCAGTTCTATGAGATAGGTATATCTCCATATATTTTAAACCTTAATCATTCTTCTCCCACACCCCTTCTTAATTTCTGGCGGAGCTAAAAGTAACCTTTCCCTACTGGAGTTGCACACAATTCCTGGCCCACAGTGATACACAAACTAATCATACACTTAATACAACATGGGATACTGCATGCAGTTGCAATACCTGTCACAGGACATTCCCTCTCAGTCAACTCATGTAAAAAATGTTTGGAAGGGATATAAACCCTACAACGGCAGAACCAACCATTAACTGATGGGGTTAGAAAGAGACTTCCCCTATGAGCAAGTTATTCCATATTCTTGCACCTTCTTTGAAAATATCTGGTACTGGCCACTGTCCGAGACAGGATAGTGGATTAGATGGGCCACTGGTCTGATTCAGTCTGGCAGTTTCTGTGTTTCTAATCATGGCTACTAGACTAAAATAATATTTAACCATCATAAAGAGAAGGTTCTGTTTCAGAAGAACAAAAGTTTCCTTGGCTCCACTGAACAGGAGACTCAGTAGAGAGGGGGTTTAGGAGTCTCTGTGGCTTAACTTTCTATCTTGGCCTTTTAATCAGAACTGAAACATCAGGTGGATCACATGAACACCAAGGTGCAAATGCTCCAGGAAGAGCTCAATGTTTTACGAACATACATGGACAAGGAGTACCCGGTGAAAGCCGTCCAGATAGGCTCTATGCTTCGCAACATCCGAAACCTGAAGGAAGAACAGCAGGTAAAGAAACCTCTCCTAACCTATGTTATCCCTGTGTGTAACGAGAAGGGATCACCAAGGCAATCAGATGTTCACTTGCTTAATAATCCTATTGTTTCCCTGCCACCCATCCCTGTAATTCTCAGGATGAAATGGAAGATATAGAAGATCTGGCCAAAACAGTAATGCAGCAACTGGAAAAGAAGGTGCAAGATGAGAAGGAGCAGATATTACAGGCTGTTGCAGAGGTTAGTGGATTGCCTCTGTCTTTGCATGCTTGAAAGTCAGTGAGAAAGATAATGGACTACCCTGCCAACTAGACTGCTACTGGGAGCTGCCATCTAGGGCTAGGGGGTTCCAGATTTGGCCCACCAGTGACACTGTGCTACAGAGGACATGCAAGGGTGTAACAGTGAACTACTGCCTCCAGCTTAGTTGCTACCTGGAGCTTTTCTTTGGAGTAGCAGGGAGCTGTAGGTACAGAGCTGGATTTCGCATTGGTGTGCAATTGTAGCCTTGCATGTTGCAATATTTTCAGAATCATACATGGGTATTTGCACACACAATTAGAGGGAATGAATTAAATGGAACTGATGTTATTTAGATAGATGTTTAACTAGTCACTTGTGTGCACAATTACTGAGATTGCACACACATTTGCAGTAATTGCATGAGCACATTAAGCACACAAATAGACACAATACTGAAAATATGAGACTTTATTGTCCCTTCAGAAGATATAGGAAACTTCTATTGTACAATTGCTGTTTATGTGGTAGTACTTAAGACTTCTGTGCAAACGTAAAGGAGCCCTCACCATAGCCTGGTGAGGTGGAAAAATATCAGTATTCCCATTTCACAGATGAATCTGTAAGCAAGGGTGATGTGACTTGCCCAAGGCCATATAGCTAGTCTGTGTTGGCACCTGGCATTAGAACACCAATATTACTGACTCCTAGTCCTGTATTCAGCACAATGTGATCTCATTGGGTATTGAGGAGATGATGGCCCCCAGAATTTGTCCCAGCCTGCATTCCTTAAAGGAGGAGTTCACCTGTTATTCTAGACATGGCAAATACAACTGGGTCATCCCTAGGGTCTGCAAGTGGCAGGGTTTCATACCTGTCATTGTGGGTTGCATTGTAGAAATAAATTATGCCCAGTCAGCTCTAAAGTACAGGTTTTTGAACAACCAAAACCCTGAGAGACCGCATCCCTTTTTTCTCCCATTGAAGCTGTGAACCCATTCTTCTGAGCCTGTTAGCTCAAAGAGAGCCATGGACAGCAATCATGTTTGTGATTGCTGCAGCCCTCCCCAGCTATTTTCTGCTTCTCTTCGTGTCCAGATGCATACTGGGATTTACTGTCTGGTCTTTTACTTCAGCTGGTTTATTTTTTCTATCTGTGCAGGACAAGGCGTTCCTCTATCAGGAGGGGCTGAAGCAGATGGCTCTCAACAATCGGATACTCAGGAATGAAATCCAAATGCAAAAGAAGGTGAGCAGGTTTGGGAGGAAATCGCATGGAGCAGCAGGGGTGTTGGCCTAGTGAGTATTAACCCCTTTGCTGCTGGTCCTCCAGTACAGTGGCTGTGCCATTCAGTTTCCAGTGGACTATTAGGGCACACCTAGGATGTTGAGGCGCACAGCAGGGATTCCCCTGGCACACTGCAGAATGTACTGTGGGGAACACTCCGGCCCTGGCTTTGTGAGGATGGACCGATGCCCTGGCCAGTCTTCTCTAGCTCCTCTGATGTTTCTAGTTCTCTGGTACCTTCGTGCTCTCGTCATCTAGGTGTTTTTAAAGAGCAGTCTCACAGGTTTAATTCTTTCAGTTCATTCACAAGCTGTTGGAAGAAATCACAGAGCTACGAAAGAGCATTATGACACTTCGCTGGAGCGTGAGAGACCCTAGAGAAGTGATCTTCGCCGACGTCCTGCTCCGCAGGCCCAAGTAGGTCCCTGCATTTATCTCCTAAGCAGTAGAGTTTATTGACCAACACGCCACAGGCCCTTCTGACACCAGCTTCAACGTGAGTATTCATAGGTCACCCTCTGCTTGGTGCACTGGGAGTTAATCTCCACTCAGAATGCCTTTGTATTAAGAAACGCAAGCCAGCTATTTGCACAGCCTTCAAAGGTAAACGATGCACCTCACCATAAAATGTAAACCTAATTATAATATTGGATCATAGAATATCAGGGTTGGAAGGGACCTCAGGAGGTCATCTAGTCCAACCCCCTGCTCAAAGCAGGACCAATCCCCAACTAAATCATCCCAGTCAGGGCTTTGTCAAGCCTGACCTTAAAAACCTCCAAGGAAGGAGATTCCACCACCTCCCTAGGTAACCCATTCCAGTGCTTCACCACCCTCCTCGTGCAATAGTGTTTTCTAATATCCAACCTAGACCTCCCCCACTGCAACTTGAGACCATTACTTGAGATCCAATTGGGGAAGGGACGTGCATGGCCTAATGGCCTGAGCACAGGAGTAGGAACTAGGACGGGCTAGCCCTAGCACTGATACGGATTTATTGTCAACCTTGGGTAAGTCACTTCCCGTCCCTGTGCCTCAGTTTCCCCACTAGGGGATTGTGAGGATTAATAAAGCTTTACAAGCCTCCTGTGATGCACAATAAGGAAGTATTCTGTTGTTCTCATTTTACAGTTGGGAAAACTAAGGCTCCGAGGGACCAACAGGCCTTCCCAAAAGACTCATTGTATGTAGTGTATTCATAGCCATGTCGGTCCCAAAAGACTAGTTGTCAGAGCATGCACTGGTTATCTAAAGTCACTTTTCGAACAGCCACAGTAAATTCCCCCCCAAAATACTGGATGAAAAAAGATAAGTAGGCCATTTTCCTACGATGTTAAAGAGGTTTCAAAGGCAGATGAAAGCTGCAAAAAGCCAAATCTCATTTCTCCCTCCCCGGCCCCAGTTCACTGGTGGCTGATTGCTTTCAGCATTGAGTTTCTGTTCATCAATGTGCAGGGTGCCCTGCCAGCTCATTCACAGAAATCCTGGCTTCTAACTTCCAGGAACAATGGAAAAGGTTCGGCTAAGAGTGTGGGCTCAAAACATAAAACAGAGAGAGATGCACTAACGCGCCCTGAAACCACTCCCACAAATACCTACTGGGGTGCAGTTGATGCAAAGAGCAATTGTGATAACACCTCAGATTGTAATTGACTGCACACCAAATACACACAGATCCACAATATCGAAAGGAAACGTAATGCAGTTTAAAATAGAAATTTGATTAACAAGTGTCAAGTGACGTTACAACTGGCCATTGGTCTTGATCGGTTATTGACTTCAGTTAGGGTGTAAGCCAAGGCCACATTTGGCCCAAAGAGGTTAAGGTCTTGAATGTCAGCCAGTCTAAACTTGTAGGTGTGTGTGCAAAATGCATGTGAAATTGTTTGCTGTTTGCCTGTGCGTTTATTGCAGTTGTGTGTGCAAAGTGAGTGTGTGAACAAACTGTGAATCACACTGATTTTTCACCTCTAGCTTCCCCATTTTTGCACATAAAGTAATTTTATAGGCATATTAGTCCTGCAGTTTCCCCCCATTTTGCATACATAGATTATTCACATGAACTGTATGAAAACCAGGTCTTCCATGATTTCCATAAACCCAGGCCATAAGTCTGTGACAGAGCCAATAATAGGGCCAGATTCCCTGACTCCAAGTCCCGTGTTTTAAGCAGAAGACGGTCCTTTGGCCTGGTCCAACTGCAGAAGTTTGGAGGCCTGGTGTGAAGCAGAAGGAAAGCCTGCAACATGTCAGGAAGTTGGGGAGAGTTGAACGGCCTGGTGATATATTAGTCTAACTTAATTTTTTTCAGATAAAAGCAGGATAAAATGGAGAATTAAGTAGTCCTGACAGATTGTAGAGCTGAGGTGGCTGCGTGTGACTGGGAAAGGTTTAAAAATAGAAGAAAGGCCAAGTGGGAAAGTTTCTGCAGCATCATAAGTCAGGCATTTGGTGATTACACAGCCCTGCCAGGCTGGGCGCCTTTGCCAGAGCCATCACCACGGTTTCCTCCACAGACCTTTCCCGCTGACCTCCCTTACACTTTTCACATGACTTCGCAATGGGCTGGTTTTCTTAGATTAGCCCATTGGTTTCCCTGAGACACTGAAGAAACAAAGTTGTGTTCAGCCCACGTTCAGCTGGGAGAGTTGGGGAAAGTGCGGTGCAGGGGCTCAGTCTCTCTCCCCACTAGCAGCAGCAGAGCAGAAACTGATCGTAGGCAGGGTTGGATTTTTCGTAACAGACCTATAGTGTCACAGGACGCGAGATCTGGGATGCCAAGAGGCTGGAGGGGGTCCCTCCCTTTCCTTACTCATTTTTGTTTCTAATTGCTGCGTGGCCAAAGCAGCAAAACCACGTTACTTCTTTCCTCTCGCCCTCCGTTCCCTGCCTCTGCTTTGCCGAAATACAGCTGAACAAGTCCACCTTTTGTGCAGAATCAGTATTGCAGCCTAGTCAGCAAGGAAGGTGAGAGATGGCTGGGAGTCAGAAGACTTGGGAAGCTATTCCTGGCTCTGCCACGGACTCATTGTATGACATTTGGCAAGTCATATGGGGCCTGATTTCTCAGTGTGGGAAGTCCACGGGCATTGTGGGTGTTCAGACCTTCTGGAAATCAGGTGATTTACCCCTCTGGGCTTCAGTTTCCCCATCTTTAAAAATGTACCTCCTCTGAGTGCCATGGGGTGTCATTCATGGAGCTTTTCCCAGCTGTTACAGAAGCCTGGATTGAAGGTGTCACGGAACAGAACCAGAATTTAATGAGGATGTTGATACACAAACTAGTGGTCACATTTCATCTTACTGCATTTCTCCCACTGTGTGCTGGAGAGTGGATGTAACTAACAAGGCCCTGCTGCTGTGAAGCTTTTCCCCTCTGCGTTTGTCTGTTGGGCTTGAAGGAGAGTCGCAGCTAAATACATTGTTCTGTTTTCATAAACCCACTGCCGAGTCTGATTAGGGCTCGGTTATCCTGTGCATGCTGTCTAGGAAACAGCTAGGCAACAGGGCTCAGGCTTTGATTTACAATGTGTGATCTTCCCATAGGAAGAGAGGAGATGGCCAGTCTGGTTAATGCCAGAATGGGCTCCGCAGGGTGAGTCAGAGCTAACGTATAATACTGCTTGGGCACTGCTGCTGTGGGCTGGGTCACCTGTTTGGGCTCTGGCTCATGCACAAGAACCCAATATGGCTTTAAAGGGCTGCTGTCCTCTGAGCAAGTCTGGGGTTCTGGTCCTACCCCTCCTCCCACCCTCCAATAGCGAAGGGTGTATGAGTGGTGGACAAAGGATGTCCAGGCCCTCGAGTTACTGTTTGGCTGTACAGCATGTCTGAGAAGGGCCATGTGTTTCTGGCCCTGATTGTACCAGGATTTCTCTTCCCCACCACCTCACTCCCAAAGACTCACTTGATCTGAACTGAGGCAGAGTTCTTGTTTCCTTGGCTATGGTTTGACTTTCTCCTTATTGCTCTCTCCTCTCTCTGCTCAGATGCCTGCCAGATACAGAGATTGTTCTCAATATCCCCTTAGAGGAGAAGGTTTTCGTTTAGTCCCAGAAGCTTTGGACCTGAAGTGGAAAGGTGGGTGGATGCGCCAGGCCTTGCCCACAGAGCTATGTCATCATAGAACACAGCTGGGCCAAGAACAGGATGAGGAGCTGTACAACAAATCGCCCCCTCTTCATGGACAAGTTCTCCAAACCATCCCAGTTCTCAGGAAGTTCTGCTCTGCGCCGCTTTTGGTTTGTCAGGACAAACAAGTTCCATCACAGAACAATATGCAGGACTCCTTGTGTCATCGTCATGCCAGATCCAAGCTGGGTAAAAGCCAGAAAACTGCCATCTCGCTAGAAGGAATATGGTGCAAAATTCTATTAAAGCAGCCAGGTGTGATCCAAAACGGGATCGTTGATGAGGTGTCACTATTGTCAACAGCCCTTTCCCCATCTCACATTCTTACAGCGCTACCGAGTGTCATGGGTGTCCGCCAACTACCGATAAAACATCACAGTTCCACTTGGTCAGATTAATTCTTGGTGTAATTCTCCTGAAGCCCAGGGGAGTTCTATCAGAACAAATTTGGCCTTTTTATCCTTCCCAGTAAAACTACTTTGTACAAGATACTTTTATCAATATTTTGATTTCTGATGAGCTGAAGCCCAGACCCAGGATGAGGTCTTTAGTAATGGAACAATGAGGAGCTGTCACTAAGTGCCCTCGAGCAGCTGCCTGTCAGAACAATTGCATCCCCATCAGCTATAGCACATGTCAGTTCAGGGGGACAGAGTGGTGACCCAGGATGAGGATCTTCCACTTCCAGTGTTCTGTACAAATGCTTGCAGTTCCTAGCAGCAGGCGTCGCTTGCCCTATGGCAGTAGTGTAGTCCATCCCATCCCAGCTGTGTCTTGCTTACGGTTGAATGGTTCGGACAGTATTCAGTCTGGGAAGTCTACCAGTCGATGGATAACTGTGTAGCATGTTTAACCTGCAACTTTCAGTCTACATTTTGAAATAAAAATTAAGTGGGTCTTTAATTTGTAACTGAAGTTTCATCCTGTCAGAATAAATCTCCAGACACCTTTTATTATTTGTCAAAAATAATAGCACTTTTCACTTCAGTAGTATGTATCAAGCAGGGATCTCAAAGTGCTTTACAGCCACTAGTAAATGTAACCTCGCAGCCTTGATGACACAGAGCCAAACTAGCTGGCTAGGTACTTCTCAAGCCCCATCCCTGTAAGATGTGAGCCTGCCTCACTTCCCATAATGATATTTCACATGCACCTCTAAAACGCTTACTCCTGGAGGTGTGTGGGTGAGGCTAGGGCAGTGATACGTACCCGTTCCTCTAAAGTGCTCTGTGATTGGTGGAGGAAAAGTGCAAAGTAGTACCATAGCAATGGTATTCTATTAAAAGTATTTACAGTGTACTGAGTCGCACTCCTTACTTGGTGAAATACCCATAGCTTCTGTCGTTCTTCAGCCTGCCACTAGATGGAGCCTGGCAGCAGCTCAGCAGATAGATAAATCAAATATGAATATCAAGTGATTAATAGAAAACTCACAGAGCCAAAGTGCTGGGGGAAGGGGTTTCCCTGCCGACGAGCAGAAAATGAGGAGCCCTGGAGAGCAGGCCGGGTACAGGGGCTGTCTCACCCATGGAAGATGGGAAGTGCCCTTTGAGAGGTGATGGACTTTCAAACACAGGAGGACAATCTCCTCCAAGGGTGTCAGGCTGAAGAAGAATCCTGCTGAGTTGTTCCTTCTCCATTTTTTCACTCCTGGAGAAAGCTGCCCTGTAAGGAATCTGAAAGCCCAGGAGCTTGGAACTGGGCTGCAGCCTGAACCAGACACCCAGTAGGAGTTGGCTTCCCAACACCAGCCCCTAGTGGGGCCTTTGCACCCAGATTCGTCCCTGGGGGCCTGATCCAGCTCTGCTGAAGTGAGAGCCCTCGGCTTGGGCCCCACCATAGCGGGGACCAGACAGGAATCACGGTGTGTGTTGACAGTGCAGTGTTGGGCTGAGAATGTGAATTGACTAAGGACTGGAAATAAAGGAATGAAGGTGCTTAGAGTGGTAGCAGCCAAGGTGACAGGAGGGCTTCTGATGTGTTAAAGCAGCTATTGGTGCAGTAGTCTGTCAAATCTACAGCCCCATGTTACACAGCAGGATCATGGACACGACCACCCAGACCTGGGGACCCACCGAGGGGACTGGCACATGCTTGGCTGGGGGAGCAGCTCAGGCAGCCTTCCAAGGATCATCCTCCTGTCTGGCCACTTCATTTGCTGGCTCTCTCTTTGCCCCCCACGGGGATGCGGAAGTTACCCCAGTCCTAGGGATGGTATTATTGCCTGGGGCAACAGGTTCTAGAGAGGGCTAGTCCAGGGGCTATGCTGTGTGCTGGAGGTATAATCTTCCATCATGTCATGTGGTGGGGTGTCTAGAATGATGCCCTGAGATTATTAGGCCTGAAGGGGCAGGTCCCTGAGGCAGGGGCTGTGGGCGCTGCAGTGGAGTGGATGCCCTGGTGACGAGATCCAGCTGGGGGGGTGGAAGTCAGGGGGCTCAGGCTGGGGTGGGGGGGGGCTTTAACCCGGGGGGGCTGGGGGAGGGTATGGGCATTGGATTCAGCCTGGGGCAGAAACAAGGAGGAGGCCGGTGGCACCTTAAAGACGAACAGATTTATTTGGGTATAAGCTTTCCTGGGTAAAAAAAACCCACTTCTTCAGATGCAAATAAATGTTAGTCTTTAAGGTGCCACCGGCCTCCTGGTTGTTTTTGTGGCTATAGACTACCAGGGCTCCCCTCGGAAGCCTGGGGCAGGGGGTTCAGGGGCTGGAGAACTTGATCGCCCGGTGTGGGCCCCTGGACACTGGGCTAGGGCAGCTGATCCCCGGCACAGTGCTCAGACCCCTGGCACCGGTGCTGGATCCTGGGCCAGTGACTCCCTTGGCGGATTGCGGGGCGGACCTTGGAGGCGCTGGGTCTGGGCAGGGGTGGATCCCGCGGCGCTGGCCCGGGCTGGGGGAGTGGATTCCAACTCCGCCCGCTCCGAGCGGCACCGGGCGGGCAGGGGAGGGTCCCGGGACCGGCCGAAGGGGGCTCCACCTCCCAGGGTTTAAAGCCCTGCGCTCGGCGGCTGCGGCGCTAGGCGATGAGGCAGGGGAGCGCCAGCGGCCGGGCGTTGGGTTCCGCGGGCTGCGGGCGGTCGGGGGCCCCCGGACAGCGGCTCCGGTGAGCCGGGGAACAGCAGCGGGGCCGGCGCCGAGGTGAGCCGGGCTGAGTTCTGCGAAGAAACTTTCCGCTGCGGGGGCCGAGAGCTGGGGCGCACGGGAGCGCAGCGAACCCCCGGCAGCCCGCGCTGTCCTGGCCCCCTCCCGGCATTCAGCCTTGGCCGGAGACTCTTCACCCCGGGCGCGCCGTTCCCCGCTCCCTCGGCTGCCTGGCTCGGCTCCCCTGCCCTAGCGGGCTGCCCTTTCCCCGGCAGCACCGGGCTCCGGGCTGCACCGCCCGCGGCCGCCAATGGCTCCGCTCCCAGGGCCGGAGCGGGACCCGCGCAAGGAGCCTCCGAGCCCCGGAATTCGGGCCGCATCCCGGGTCGGGCCGGACTCCTCGGGGGAGCCTCGAACCCGGGGCCACGGGCGCTGGCACCGGGGCAGGTGCGGAGAACGGGCGCTTGGCGCTGCCCGGCCCCCGCGTCCTGGCCCGGGTGGGAGGACGCTGTGTCTGTCGGGATCGCCTCCCTGCCCCTCCTGTGCGCTGCTCCCCAGGCTGGTACAATGGTGCCTGTGCCATGTGGTGGAGGTTGGCACCGCTGTCCCCATGGCATCGGGACTCTTGGGGGTTTGGTGCCAGGCTGAAATTCATAGGGTGGGGAAACCAGGCCGGGAAAGCGCATGGGACAGCGCTTCCTACCTGCTCTTACCCGACACAGAGGGGCGAGGGTCTTTAATGGGCCAGTGCCAAGCTGGCAGCTGTGGGTACCACCCTAAACCCAGCCCCTTCCCAGCAGGTGAGATCGGAGAAGGGAACATTTCCAATCCCTCTCCTCCATGGATCAGCCCCCTTGGCCTTCTGCCTCTCCTTTATTCCTTCCATCTGGCCTGAATAAAACCCTTCCCACGCTGCTGGGACCCTACTTGTGTCCCAATCCCAGCTGGGTGAAAGGGCGCTGGGTGTGGGCAGCAATCAGACCCCCCCTCCTTCCTCCCCCCACACTTTTGCCTTCCTTGCTCTGGAGCTGAAGCAGAGACGGGCTAACACCCAGGATCCACTGGGCTTTGAAGAGTCTTTGGCTCCAGATTTTTTTTTCCAGTTTAAAAGTTGTTTGGCTGAGACAATGCAGGGCGGCTGGGGAGTGCGTTAGGAGACCGGGATGATTTATGTTTGTTTCTTCTGGGCCTGCCTCCAGTCGGGAGCCAACCGAAGTGGAACTGAAAACGATCCCCTCTGTACCTAAGGTGAATGTAATCGAACTCCGAGGGCACCCAGGGGTGGGGCGGGTCCGGTCCTGGAGAATCCCAGGCAGAGCAGGCCGAGGAAAGGCAGACAGGGACCTCCAGCTCCCCAGCACAGCGCTCGCCTCCAGACTTCCTTCCACAAGCCAGTCGCTCGGCCTTTTCTGTTTTGCAGAAGATGACTCTGAACACGCAGCAAGGGGGCAAGGACCCTGTGCGCAGACGGGCCAGCACCCCGGTCCCCCTCTCCCACCAGGCCAGGCCAGGGATGCGTGAGCTGAGGCCTAACCCCAGTGAGTCCCATCACCCTCCGCTTGGCTACTCCTCATCCTTCGAGCCTGGAGACAAAGCTCCCGTCATGCCGCGCAGCAGCTGGTCATCGGACTCGGCCGACTCCGACAGCTCCTGGGAATCCTTGTATCGGGTGGTGCTGCTGGGTGACCCTGGTGTGGGCAAGACCAGCTTGGTGAACCTCTTTGCCGGGATCCAAGAGCGGGACCTGCCGGAGCAGCCAGGAGGTAGGGGGCCCTGCCCTGGGGGAAATGCAGCGTGGGTGTCAAGCCGGCTGCCCCAGGTCTTCCTGGGGCTCTGCGGAATGAAATGCTCTTGAGGGCCATGCGGGGCAGAGGTTGGGGTGTGGGCAGTGGGTCACAGCGGGCAGAAGAACTGTGTAAACCCAAGCCAAGGGGCACAGTGGAGAGGCTGCACTGACTGCTTGGGAGCAGGGCAGAGCCGCCACTTAGCAGTGAGGAGCGCGCCGCCGAACGTGGGGAACGTGCCCCCAGTGCCGTTCCCCATCTCTGGGGCTGGGCAGGGGGAAGTTAGCACGGCACAGTGCCAGCTGAGAGCCACCGGTGGCTCAGTTCTGATGTACCTACTGTAGGTAACACTGTGCACCCCCTTGAAAACTGGGGGGGTCCTTAGCTGTGGATTTCAGTGGGTTTGAGATGGAAACATGGGAGGGAGGGATATCGTTCTGACATGCATCAGGGGTCAGCCGCCTGGGTCCAGTCAATGCCAGTTGTCCAGCTGCCTGCTGGAGCCTCGGTACCTTTCAGCCTCCCCCCAAGCCAAAAAATAACCTGGCAAGGTGGGTGAGTGAGTCCTGAACCTGGGAAGAGCCGTGAGATGCCCCAGCACCTTCCCCCTCCTTCCAAGCACTAAGGCAGGAGAGTAGCCAGGCTTCCGCCAGGGCATCGCCCTGGACCTCACCACTTTCCCACATCCTTCCATGGTGCTGGCTGGTTGGTAGCTTTAGTTCCTTGCCTAGAGGATCAGTTGGGTTTTCCATGCCCTGTGTTTAACCCCACCACCTTGGGGTGCTGCCTCCTCCCAGCCTGAGCAGCCAGCAGACTCTCCCGCTGTGGAGCTCAGCGGCACTGGGCCTGGGCTGGAGGCCCTGCCGGGCAGGCGGAGTCTGGCTGACTTGGATGCGTCTGGCTTGTTTCAGAGGACGCCTACGAACGCACCCTGTCGGTGGATGGGGAGGAGACCACGCTGCTGGTGATGGACACCTGGGAAACAGAGAGGCGGGTAGGGGAGCGTGCATGGGGCGTGGCAATCACAGGGACTGTCTGTGGGGGTGGGGGAGGTTACCTTTTCAGTGAAGTGGGTTCTGTTGCTAGACTGGAGTTATTTATTATAGGGTCTGTTGCTGTTGTAAATGCCACAATGAACTTGTATGAACATAAGAACGGCCCTACTGGGTCAGCCCAAAGGTCCATCTAGCCCAGTATCCTGTCTGCCGACTATGGCCAGTGCCAGGTGCCCCAGAGGGAATGAACAGAACAGGTAATCATCAAGTGATCCATCCCCTGTTGCCCATTCCTAGCCTCTGGCAAACATCTATCCCTGTCCATCCTGTTTAATAGCCATTGATGGACCTACCCTCAATGAATTTATCTAGTTCTTTTTTGAACCCTGTTGTAGTCTTGGCCTTCACAACATCCTCTGGCAAGGCGTTCCACAGGTTGACTGTGCGTTGTGTGAAGAAATACTTCGTTTTATTTGTTTTAAACCTGCTGCCCATTAATTTCATGTGGTGACCCCTAGTTCTTGTGTTATGAGAAGGAGTAAATAACACTTCCTTATTTACTTTCTCCACACCAGTCATGATTTTATAGACCTCAATCAGATCCCCCCTTAGTCGTCTCTTTTCCAAGCTGAAAAGTCCCAGGCTTATTAATCTCTCCTCATACAGAAGCCGTTCCATACCCCTCATCATTTTTGTTGCCCTTTTCTGAACCTTTTCCAATTCGAATACATCTTTTTTGAGATGGGGCGACCACATCTGCACGCAGTGTTCAAGCTGTGGGCGTAGCATGGATTTGTATAGAGGCAACGTGACATTTTCTTTCCTAGTCTCTACGGCCGGCTGTGTGTCCATGCCCACCTGCTCACGAGACAGGGCTGCAGGGACAGACCCTCCTGCTGGACCCTACGTCCACCAGGCCCCACTTTAGCTTTCTGGGGAGCTGCTCTTGCCATTGTGTGACGTCCCCAGCAGACCGTGCTTGCTGTTCCCGTCGGTCTGTGGCTGCAGCTGGGTCAGGGTCAGCAGCTAGGAAGGGGATGAGGGTGACTTCCCCAGTGAAAAGCTGACTGGCTCATCAGGTGTCCAAGGGAGGAGCTTAACACCCCTGGGAGCTGGACAGACCCAACTCCCTGTCCCCCCAGCTCCCCACAGAGCGGATGCTCCAAGCTAGGCACTTGGGGCTGATTCTCCCACCTTCCCTCCGGCGTAGCTGCTGATGCACCTGCAAAGGGGGTGTAGGCTGCTGCCAGGTCAGAATGGCTGTGCTGGCGGAAGCGCAGACGCGAGGTGCCAGGCAGCGGGAGCTGGGCCCGAGACGTCCCCGGGGAAGGTGGAGAGAAGGAGGGAAACGTGCCAGATCCCCAGGCTGAGTGTGCGGGGAGGTGCTGGGGTTCGTTTGTCTCCTAGCTGTGCAGGAGCTGACTGGGCGAATGACGGGTGAGGAAATGCAGCCTTTAAAGGGAATGCGTTAGTAGGCAGCAGTCGTGGTGCCCGGCAGCATCTCTGCCCCTCCGCCCCTGCTTGTGGGTGACTGGAGATTGATAGGAGCAAGATTCCCCCTCTTCCAGCCCCACCCGGGTCTTTGCTTTCGAGGTACAACTGGGGGCGACGCTCGCTGGTAACAGCAAGAGGGTCCCGAGCTTCATTGAAATGGCCTCTCCGCCTGCCGGTCTGGGAGCCACCTGCACTCTTCCCCTTCGCCAGCTGCATCTTCAGGAAAGTCAGTGGGGGCCATCTAGTCCCCAGCACCTCCTGCAGCCCCTGCTCCCTGTGGCCAAGGTCTCTGGTGGTATCTGGGAAGGGATGGACTCGCTTCCCCACCTGACCAAGTACGAGCAGGGAATGCCGGTCCTCTTTTCCACTGTCCACTCTGCCCGGAGCACTGGGCGCAGATACCCCTTAGCGTCCCGCCCTTAAAATCCAGGAGGGGGCCGAGAGGAACAGAGGGGGCTCGGGGAATGGCTCCTATGGGAAACACAGCCCGTAACTGAGTGGGGATGAGGGCATTGGCATGGAGTGGGAGTCAGTGGTACCCACCGAGCCCCGAATGAGAGAGCCTGACCCAGACGAGGATGTGAGAGGTGAGGGAGGGGCAGGGGTTCTGGCGAGACCCCACTAGCCTGGCCCAGCTGGGCCTGCTTGCAGTGATTATGGCCAGGCTTTTCGTAGTGGGTCAGTATTTCACTCGGGATACCATGAGAAATGCAATTCTTTATCACTTTGGTTTTGGTGGACGAACAAAGGGTTAATTCCATGTCATTCCTGTGAACCCTCCTGCAGCTCGAGGCCTGCGTGAGCTCTCTTCACATCCGAGCTGGGCCAGGCACGGGAGGGTTGGGCCAGCCCTTTAGGCTTCTGGTTCATACGGGCTTGGCCTCCCGCTGCATGAAGCTTCCTAAACCCGAAGGCAAACTCCCCAAGGTACTAAGTCTCGGGGTCCAAAGCTTTCCAGGGCTCCCACCCAACCCCTCCATCTGCCTTGCTTTGCCTGGGGTCTCTGGTTTGTAGAGATGAGCGCCGCCCTGGGAGGCTTGGGTCAGGAGCTGGCTGTCGCCAGAACTCTGCACTGGTTGGAGCTGAGGTTTTGCTGCAGGCTCATGGGTCCGGTTTTGCAAGCAAACGCGAGAAGAGTTGCCCAGTTTGGGGATTTGCTTGGGGTCTCTCTCGGCAGGGCTCTGGCATGTGCAGCTTGTCCAGAAGCAATGGCGTGACCACTCGCTGGAAAAGCCGTAGTGTCCTGTCAGAAACACCTGTGTCGTCTGCACTGCCTCTAAAGAAGCGGATGGACTGTAAATTGGCATTACTGGTTCTAAGGCCCCTAAGCCTGTTGGTCCTGGCAACATTTGCTGACCAGGATCTCTGCAGTGTGAGGTTTGCTCCCTTGTGTGTGAAGCTGGCTTCTGTTCCCAGCACGAGAAATAGCAGGCCGGTTTGACATAGAATTTAGGACCACAATGGCATGCAGAATGCGTGTGGATTAGCATGCCCAATCTGTGCCTCTAATCACGGTAACTGTGCATGCAAATTAGATGCACCTTTTGCACAAGCAGTTGTACATCTAAACAGTCTGAAAATCTGGTCCTAAAGTTTTAAAGACTTGAATTTATTTCCACTATCCCTGAATTGCATTTTTCTACTGAGTGCTATTTCCCCTCGTGAGAAGATACCGATTGTCAAGTTAATTTGTTTAGGGACACAGTGAACATCAACATTTTGGCCGTGATGGGTCCTAAGGCCTGGAACCCGATGCCCCTGAAATCTCCCCCCCGCTCCATCCTTCCCATTTTAAAAACCCGCATTAAAAGCTCATGTTTTCTCCCAGGGGCTCTGGCCTGATGATAACATTATCTAGCTCTTATGTGGCGTTTTTCATCAGTAGATCTCAAACCACATCACCGTTGTTAATGTATTTATCCTCCCACCCACCCCCCGGTGAGGTGCTCTTAACCCCAGTGTACAGATGGATGCAGAGGTGGTAAGTGACTTGCCCATGGTCACACAGGAAGTCTGTGGCACAGCAGGGAATTGAAGCCAGGCCTAACCACTGGACCATCCTTCAGCCCCTTCCCTTCCAGGCCCCCATTCCTTTGTAAATGGGCTCCCCTGCTCTTGCTGGCTGTTTGCAATTGGAAAGGGGCTCATATTTCAGCCTGAGGCCCAGACCCCTGACCGCTCTGGCCGGGGTTTGGGGCTGTACGAATACAAAGGATGTCCTGGCTGGGTGTGTTCCCCAGAGGGTGCTGCAGCCAGTGGTTCTGTTGTGAACCCTTTAAAGCCCTCTTCCTTCTCCGGCGTGGGAGGGTGGGTCCCCCTGAGCCCCAAGAGCCCCATTGGTGTTTGCAGGCACTGGGCTGCCACAGATGCATGGCTGGGCAGCCTGCGCGTTTGGGAGCGGAGCCCTGGGGCTGTAATTTGCAGCTGACACAGATTGAGGAGGAGACTGTGTCAAATGCCCCCCAAAGCCAGAAGCTTTTAATCTGCGGGTTATTGACGTGTCTGCTGGGCGGCCAGAGGCTGCGGGAGCCTGGGCTGCTGTCTGATGGGGACAGGCTGACGGCAGCGGGGGCCGCGCCGCACCTGCACCGGGGCTGTGATGCTGAACTGCTTCCCCCTCCTTGCCCTGTCCACAGCCTGGAGATTTGCACCCTCTCTGGGGACCCGTTCCTTCCAAGGGCTCAGACTAGCCCCAGCGGGCAGGGAGCAGCCTGGGGGCAGGCCTCATCCTTCAGTAAACCTTGAGCGCGCTATCCGTTCCTCACTGATTGATGGGGCTGTTCAGCTGAGCCGTTACCCTGCCTGCTGACTTGTCTGCTCTCCCCCACTCTTGGCCCCAGCCCACAGACTAGCGGCTGGCTCAGCCCCACCCCTGCAGGGAGCAGAGAAGACTCTTCTGTTCGTACTGGTAGACAGCATTGCTGCTGAGGACGGGCCGTTATAATGCAGACACTGGGGTGCCTTGTCTTGTACCCAACGACCCCGGTGGCTGGCATCCTTGGTAGCCATCAAGGCCACCTGGAAGCTGGGGAGGGCACTTATTATACAAGTTCCCGCCTCCTTTCCCATTAAGGGCAAGAGGGAAATGCTTGTTTGCACCCAGTGCTGCCAACAGCAGCGAGGATACGGCTCTTCCCATGCCAAGTCACTAGCCCCCTGACTCCATGGAGTCCCCTTCCTCATGTCTTTGCCAGGAGCCCCTACTCGCTAGCTGGCCCAGCTGTGGGAGCTGGGAGTGGCTGTGTGAAAGCCTGCGGGATGGATGAGGGAATGCACAGGTGTGGGTCCAGTGCAGGCGGAGGGGAGAGGGCGGATCTCAGCGAAGCTAATGAACCATCGCAGAAAGCAGGGTCCCGTGCTTCCGCCAGCGAGATCTGCCCATGGTGAGCCGTGAGCAGAAATCCCGGCGGGGGGGAGGCTGGAATCGCTGTCAGGCTGAGAGGGGGAGGGGCAGCTGGGGTCCAGCGGTGCTGGCTGGTACTAACTTACTCTCACCGCCTGAATTAATGCTTGTAGGGGAATCATGGGAGTGGGCACCAGCCTTGGCCTCCTCCTGAATGTCAGACACCTGCAGAAAAGGGTAATGATCAAATCCCCGTAACGATCCCCCTGGGCACATGGGGACGTGTGTTTTTTCTAGGGCCAGAACCTCGGCTGGTGTAAATCACCCCAGTGCCCCTGAGGTCCCAGGACGTCCTTCCATATGTGCCCAAATCAGTGCAGGTGGGAAGGTTTTCACAGGCTGAGAAACCCCCTGAACGTAGATTTACAGCTCACCGGTCCTGAGCAGGAGGGGAGTGTGGGGGTCAGCGAGGTAAGACGCAATGATGGCGAAGCGGGTGGCGTGCTGCCCAGACACAGGTATGGAGGGCTTACCAAGGCGAACAAGAGCGTGAAGGATGGTGTGTTGGGCTCGTGGGAACGGCAGGAGAGCCTTGCTGGTCTCCCGTGCCAGGGGCATGAGGGTGTGAATGAAAAACCAGCCCTGACGCCATCCTGCCAGAGGCAGATGCACGAGGCAACGGGCTGGCAGGCTGTGGACGGGTGGAGCTCTAGAACCAAGGGGTTGTGGTTTGAGGAAACAAAACCAAAGTCTTCGAGAGCCCTGGGGGGGAAGGGACTGGTCCCCCAGGATACAGCCTGGGCTGACACGCAGGCCTGGAGTGACAAGAGCAAGGGGTGTTGTCTTGGCCGTCCCAGTCACGTCTGAATGCGAGCGAAGCGATTCCAAGTACAGCGAGGAAGGAAGCAGCTGGTAAAACCGCTGGGAGCGGCAGAGTAAACGTTTGGCAGCAGTGCATTGTGGGCAAGTGAAAGGGGTGCATCCCGCATTGCTCCGTGGATGCAGGCTCCTAGTCACTACGCCTGTGCAAAATGCTAGCAAACGTGAGCGGCAGCATTTCCCACGCACTGGAGGAGCCGCCTATGCACGGCGCCAGGCGGGGAAGCCTCGGGCTCAGGCATTTGGGTAGAACGTCTGGCCCCGAATCACTCTCGGAGTTCCCGCTACGCCGGGTGTCTGGAAGAGCCTGGCTGGGTGCTCTCGTTCCCCACTCCCTGGGCCAGGAGCGGAGTCGAAGCTTGCGGGACATACCACCCCTGCCACCCCCTCACACGTCCCACCAGCTTGGGCTCCTGGAGCCTAGGGGGGTGTCCACACCGCAATCCGTAGCGTGACTGCAGCTCAGCTAGACGTGCCTGCACTAGCATCACCCGTGCTAGCGTGGCTAAAAATAGCAGCACAGGCTTAAATGCCGACTAGCAACCCTAGAAGGGTAGGACTGGAAGGGATCTCGAGAGGTCCTAGCTTGGATCCCTGAGGCGCGTGTCCGGGCCACGCTGAAGCCTGTGCCAGTGTGTCTACACGGCAGTGCTAGCACAGGGCTGGCCACTCGGGCTGTGATCCCAGCTTGGTGCAGTGCAAACATCCCCTCAGTTGACCTGGTAATTCCCAGCCCAGGGCTGGAAGAGCAGGTTCAGTAAGGAAGGCGGCCAGCCAGGCAGAAGGCGCAAGTTAAAGTAGCCCAATCCTCGACGCTCCTCCCAGCTCCTCGGCGCGTAGGTTATCCCGGCGCTGGGAAGCACGTGGGGAGCTGGCCGCAGCACTGCTGAGTCCGGCCCGCCGTCGGCGAGTGTGTGTGGCCCATGGCTGTGTGCCCCAGTAACGCCGTCTTTCCCTCTGCAGCCCCAGGAGGAGGAGAACCGGTTCCGCAATCACTGCATGCAGGTGGGGAATGCCTATGTCATTGTCTACTCCGTCACCGACAGGGTGAGTTTCGAGAGCGCCTCTGAGCTGAGAATCCAGCTGCGCCGGACCCGGCAAGCAGAGAACATCCCCATCATCCTGGTGGGGAACAAGACGGACCTGGTGCGGTGCCGAGAGGTCTCGGTGGAAGGTGAGCGAGCAGGGCCTGTCGTCCCCACCCTGCGGGAGACAGTTCCCAGCCAGCTGTTCGGGGACTGGGAACTGAGGGGAGGGGGAGGCTTCTTGCTTGGTGTCTCCTGCTGCTGCTCCTCAGACGTAGCTGAGATGGCCAGCGAGAGATTGCGATGGGACCCGCTCATCTGCTGAGCGTCCATCCAGGAGTGCCACTCTCTGTCCATCTGTCTAGTCCTCTGCCAGCCATCTGTCCAGCCATTAAACCACCCATCCTACTTTCGTTTAGCAGCCCATCCTGTCACCTCCATCTCTGCCCTCCCCTTAGTCTGCCATCAATCCAGTCTTTCCGCCAGCGTCTCTCCCCGCACCCATTAGCTACTGCCCTGAGCAGGTGCCTCCCTGGCGTAACCTACTGTTCGCCGCTTCCCCTGTCCCGTGCCCAGTGCAGAAAGCGCCGCCTGGCTCTGCTGGGAGAAAGCTCTTTGTCCTGGTGGCCAACTCAGGTGGGGTTGGACCCATTCTCTTCCCAGAGGGCCGGGCCTGCGCCGTGGTCTTCGATTGCAAGTTCATCGAGACGTCTGCCACCCTCCAGCACAACGTGACGGAGCTCTTTGAGGGGGTGGTGCGCCAGATCCGCCTGCGCCGGGACAGCAAGGAGGCCAACGAGAGGCGCAAGTCCATCTACAAGCGCAAAGAGAGCCTCACCAAGAAGGCCCGGCGCTTCCTGGACAGACTGGTCGCCAGGAACAACAAGAAGGTGGCTCTGAAAGTTCGCTCCAAGTCTTGCCATGACCTGTCCGTGCTCTGAGACCTGTCACAAAACAGGACACTTCCTTCTCATGCGTAAAGGGATGGCCTCTTGTACCTCCCAAGCGGCTGTCTGCCATGTACATAGGGGTTTGTAAACTTTCTTCTCTGTTCGTGGCATGTGGACAGGACCTTTCAGGGGACAGATGAGACTCGTCTGGAGCAATAACCCGGGAGACGGCGCCAACTTCCTAACCAGAGCCTCAGAATCAAAGTGACACCAGCAACCCATGGGGAAGGACTCCTTGCATGGACTGAATGTCCTAATCCCCAATAGCGCCTCCTGCCAGCCCTGCCACTTGCCTGGAGCCCTGCAAGAGGAGGTGGGCAGGGAGAAGCTAGGGCAGGTCTCCAGGGTGCCAGGAGGCACCAGGAAGTGTTCTAGTGTTTGCCCATGGAAGGGGGGGGGGAGGAAGCTGCCCCGGAGGGGGAGGGGACTGTGGGAGAGAAGGTGGGGTGTTCCCTGGTGCCTAGAGATAATGCAAGTCTGACTTTGCCAGCGCCAGGGATGGGTTTGAGCAGGACACTCAGATCATGCAGCAGGGGCAGTACGGCCACCGGCTCTGCTGGGGTCCACAAAGCCATTACCAAGGTCAGAAGATGCCTCTGAGTGCTGCTGGGAGCCAGAAGTGTAGCTGGCCCATGATACCGTGCGGACAGGCACTCTAGAAATCTCTTAGACAGGAAGGCCCTGAGCTGGGGTGCAACGGTATGTCAGGGTGGGGGCTGGCGGCGTTTCGCTGCCACCTCTGGGCGTATTAACGTCAGTGGGGGCAGGGGAGAAGAAGGCAATGGAGAAGCATCTTCCTTGGGTAGGAGTCTGGGGAGGCCAGAGCCCGCCTGTCTCCTGGCCTGGGGTTGGGGACTGGGCCGGGGACCGGGCGTGGCGGGGGCCGGGCGGTGGGCATGGTGGGGTTTTTGTATCACATCTCTCTCTTTTGTACAGTGTTTTTAGGATGGAGGTTTTTCTGTTGTCTCTGTATGACCGCGGTGACGACCCGCCTAGACTTGCAGAATAAACCAAATCTGGAAAGGCGGCTGTCACCAGTGACTGCGCAGAGCCTCTTGCCCTTTAACGCCCCCTGCACGGTGCTCCTCTCTTGGATTTCCCTGGGCCCACTGCTGGTTGTACCTGCTTCCAGAGCCAAGATGGGCAAAGCCCAAACCAGGCCCCTGAGTCTGAACCCTGGGGGAGCTGGGCTTCCGAGCCGGACTCTGAAATGCACCTTTAATGGGGGCAAACGGGCTGGATCCACTGGGCTGCCGTGGGAACTTCCTGTGATTTTCCCCAAGCACCGGGGCTGTTTTGATTCTGTAGATACCCTGAAATGGCAGCACAGAAGCACATGGGGCAGCTGGAGGGACTTGGTTCACACACGAGGTTTCCAGGCGGCTGGGAAATCCCATGGAATAGCCTTGAGGAATTTAGGCCGGATTCTCCAGTCTGCCAACTTCGCTGTGTGCTACTTCCGAGGTGCAAAGTGAACTGAAACTGGCTGGAGAGTCCCCTGGGTGCAGTAGGGATCTGGGCCGTGTACGGCGTAGCTGCCCCCCTTCCAGGAGCTGAGTGGGAAGGGAGGGGTGGCGAGGGCGGGAGCAGAGCTCCCCGGAGTTACACAGCAGGAGTTAGAGCAGCAGGGAGCCGGTGCCGGAGCCGAGCGGTCAGGAATCGGCAAGCCGCAGTCCGTCACCGAGCACAGCGTGGCCGTAGTGGGAGGAGCGGGGCCCTTGTCTCCTATGCACAGATGGGGTGATTTCATTGCTCAGTGAGTGTTAATCACCCTGGCTGTTGATTCTGTACCCCGCACCATGTGCACCCAGCGCTGTGCCAAGGAGGTGTAAGCTCAGCTGGGGCAGGGAGCCGGGCAGAAGCCAGTCCCGCCCTACGTCCCTTACAACGTGGTTTACAGTGGAGATGGGGTCAGACTTTGACAGCGGAAGCCCAGTTGGATGTTCAGGGCGAAAGGGGTGGAGATGGAGTCTGCTACACTGACAGGGTGAGCTGGGGGGTTTGGATCCGGGACCTGGGGAATGTTAGTGCTAGGGCGATACCTCGGGATATCAGCAATGAAGCTTCGAGCTATGGACCTCCCGGGGCAGTTCAGTGCCTTGGCTTAGGGAGCCACAACGGAGCCCACTCTAGTTCCTAGAAGAGATTGGAAAGAGAGAGGGAAGGACGCTTGGCCAGCAGGGTCTGGGGGAGGTCCCAGGTCTATGGGGCAGCATGGGAGACAGCGGGAACCGGAGGGGGGCGGGCCCGTGAGAGGAGGTGAGATGCAAGGTAGGGGGTGTGACGGAGCAGGGAGCAGGGCGGATTTGACCTGGGAATGTAGCCTGGGAGTTACATTGAGCTACCTGAGCTGTAACCTGAGCCAGGAAGGGGGGTGGGAGAAGTGACACCTTCTGCCAGGGAGATGGAACAAAGGAGAGGAGGAGCAGAGGGGAAGGGGGAGAGAGCTGCTGGAGGGATTTGGGAATTTTTCAGTTTGGGCTGAGAGGTGCAACGCAGGGAACCCCAAGCTGGGGTCTAAGCTCCCTGCACTCCCCAAGAGGACTTGATTGAGGGGTCCTGGTTGTATCTACAAGCTCTGCTGTAGACTGTTCCTGTTATCCAATAAACCTTCCGCTTTACTGGCTGGCTGAGAGTCATGGTGAATCGCAGGAAGCCGGGGGTACAGGGCCCTGAGTCCCCCACACTCCGTGGCAGGGGGGTAAGAACACTGTATGGGGGGGAAGGTGTCTGACTGTCAGGGGGTCCTGTGAGAAGAGGTGAGGTTCAGGGAGGGGGTAAGAACGGTGTAGGGGGGGGAGAAGGTGTCTGACTGTCGGCGGGGGGGTCCCATGAGAGGGGCTGATGGTGGGCTTGTGGCAGCTCAGTGCAGTTTGCTGGCTACACAGCATGGCGGGTGGCTGGGGCGTGGAGAACAGTGGGAACGGGAGGGCTTTCTGGGGTGCCCAGGCAGGGAGGGGAGTTGTGGGAGGCTGGGACCCAGCACTGGGGCTGGGCTAATGGGTCCAGCCTGTGGGTGACCATCCATCTGATCTTGTACAAGCTCGCCTGACTCCACTTTGAAAGGTGAACCCTGCCCGGAGAGGGGGGGACCCCTGGGTCTGGAGCACTTGGCCGGGAGCCGAGCAGGCCCCTATCATCGGGGAACAAGAGCGGCTTGTGCCTGCAAGTGATTCCCAGCGTGAGAAACCGAACGGGGGCTCCCTGCCCGGCTCCCCAGGGAGTGAAATTCCAAGCTGGCCCTGTCACCGGAGGGCCAGGTTGCCCAGCCTGGCTGGGCCACAGACTGCCTGTCAGCTGCCGGTGGAGAGGAGGGCCTGTTTACAGCTGTCCCGGCCAGCGAATGGAGGTGGGTTAGCCAGGAGCGGCGCCAGGGTTTTTGCCGCCCTAGGCGGCAGCGCTCCTCCTCTGAGCATTCAGCAGTGGGGGTCCTTCCGCTCCGCGTCTTCAGGGCACTTCGGCGGCGGGTCCTGGAGTGAGTGAAGGACCCGCCGCCGAATTTCCGCCGAAGACCCGGAGTGGAAAGACCCCCGCCGCCGAATTTCCGCCAAGGACGGCAAAATGCCACCCCCCAAATCCTGCTGCCCTAGGCGACCGCCTAGGGTCGCCTAGTGGAAGCGCCGGCCCTGGGGTTAGCAGGTGAGTCCCAGGGCCTTTGACCTGCCTTGTCTGGCTCGCACGGCCAGGAGGGACCAGCCCAGAGAGGAGGCTTGTGCTCCAAGCTACTTGTAGCCGTGCCAGTCCCGGAGCACGCCCGGCTGGGCTGCTCTGTACGCGCTCCGAGCTCCTCCCGGGCGACTGCCTCGGCCCGGCAGCCCTGCAAGGCAGCTAACCGGGCCCTTTTCACACAGAGGGAGGGGAAGGGATTTCTCCAAGTCTGTCCAGCACCTGAGCTCACTTGCCCCGGGCTGCGTCACGCCTCCGGCTCGCAGCGCGGCTTTGTCAAAGGCCCACGCCGGTCTACGGCACGTTTCCCCTTTGCAGGGAGGGGAGGGCCTTCCCGAGGCTCCCCCTTGGCACTAGGTGCCCGCTGCATCTCCCCTCCCAGGCCATGCTGCTGCTAGCCTGGCCCCGACTTCACCAGACCGGGACCTCGTATCCCCTGGGCAGGAGCCCAGTGAGGAGGAGACAGTTAAAGCCCGGGGCTATCGCCTGGAGCTTCCAGTCCTGACTTGCTGCTGGTCCTGGGGAATCCATTAAGGGCCCATCTGTGCTACAGGGGACTCGTGCTCACCTTGCAGAGCTGCTGGGAGGCTGAATTCCCGGGTCAATGTACCAGGCAGCGAGGGCCTTGGATGGGACGGAGCCGCAGGAGAACGGGGCTGGGCTGTGTGGGCCCAGCTGGGTGAGAGAGGCTAGCACTGATGGGGTGGGGGTGAGGCCACAGAAATCCGCCCTTTGAATGGCCAGCTCTCCCCCTGTCCTGGCTAGTCAGCTGGGAGCAGCACACTTCCCCAGCGGGACTGCCAGGATCCCCAGGCTGACACTGCTGGGTGTGATGGGACTGGTATGCCAGGGACAAGAGTGAGCGCTTCTCCACCAGGAGCGCAGCCCCCCCCCCCCCAGCTGCAGAACCTGACCGGAGGAATCCATGACTCCGATAAGGAGCAAAACCCCCTCTCGGCTTGTCTTTTATTTAGCCGCGGCTGCTGGAAGAGCCTTCAAGTGGTTCGTGGTGGTATCTTGCTCCAAGGCTTTGGGCCCCAGGCCAGAGCTGACTTGGCCAGCCGCCCCCGCCCTAGGTCAGGTCGGGAGTTTCCACTCGCCGTGCATCTTTAGCATCAGGCGCGGGAAGAATTGTTTAAGGGGAGAGCGGGGGAGATGCAAAGCTCTGGTGAATTGCAGTCATTAATCTAGGCAGCTGAGAGGAGGTGGGGGAAGCAATGCTGCGGGGGTGGGGGGGTAAAAGCCTCTTTCCTGCTCCTGAGAAAACTAGAGACTGAATTCTGCTGCTCTTTACACCAGGGCAAATCCAGAGTGATTCCACTGACAGCTCTTACTCCAGATTTACCAGCTGTCAGCTCAGAATCTGCCCCGGGCTGCTGCACTATTCATTAGCCAGAGGAACCCCGAAGAAATCTGCTCTGCAGCCCCCGGGGTGTTGCTTAAAGGTTCTCACTAACCAACAAACTGTTTCCGAGCGGAGAGAGCTTATAATAAACAGTGACCGCTCTCGGGCTGCTGCTCCTTTATATGCCACACAGCCAGCTGCCCCTTGGGATCTAGCGGCTTCCTCAAGGCACCACTACAGGGACCCTCACACTGGAGGAGTCCCATTGGCCACTGGCGGCGCACTGCTGGGAGGAAGCTCACAGCACTGGAGTCCCATTGGCCAC